TGCAATCTTTATTCTTTATAGAGTTTGATTTGGTTTTTAAACTTTGAGTTGTTTATAATCGCACAACATTACCTAATAATGCGTACTCTGCAATTTTCATCTTGTTTTAGATTTGGTCTTTTATTTATTATGATTTAACACTTACAATTTGTAACGTATGTTTTGGGTTGGCTAACTCTTATAAATTTCTGTCAATATAAGTATATAAAAAAATGGGTTTCGAAGAATCCCTTGATAGGTTGATGTTGGAGTACCTTTAATTTCGTTTGAGGAGGCGAGTGGAAGGGATTCGTATGTTGGTTCTGCCGGAAGCTGCAGGTGGATTGCCTTGGACTCGTGGTTGTAGAGCTGTGCGAATAGGTCCTCGGCGCACTGCCCTGTGACCCCGATGACTCCTTGCTAAGCTTTCGCTACTCGTGACGGACATCGTCAGAACAGGGCATCATGCTTAACAATAATTCACCAAAACACGAAGGCAAGAAAGGTGGTCTGCCTCTAACCTACCTACTTCTTATAGTCCAATTTCGTCCACTTAGACATATCATGTTTTGGCTATATATCCTATGCTTTGCCTAAATGTTTGCTCAAAAGTTAAGTTGTGGCTGCGGATGACATGTGAAGTGGCTGCATATGAAGCGTGAAACGGGTGCAGTTGTGACCTAACAGCTTTATCCTCCCCTAAAACACTTATACCATTGATCCTGCAGTGTTGCCGCATGTGATTGCGTTCCATTGCACACTTGTGTGAATGCATTGCCCTTGGAATGAATTGAACGTGAAAGTCAAAACCAGATTCGAGCCTAATCAATGCTCTTCCTCTTGCTTGGTGGTGCTTTTCTTTGCCCCCCTCTAATCCTATACAACAGCTACTTGTATGAAATTGTCTCCAATTCGATATTTTAAGCAGATTTATCTCTTATTGTATGTTCTGCAACCTCCCATTTGATATATTTATGATATGATTTTAAAAATATCTCCTCTTCTTCATTATTTCATCTCTTTTGCTGATCCTGTTTATACCCCTTTTATAGCCTTCTTCTGAGCTCATAGCCGCCTTCCAAAAAGCCTCTGCCACTGAAAATAATTCACCTAATGGCCTCATACAACGTCTGTCAGTCTGGTGGGGTAGAAATAGGACTGGCCTCTACTTTCCGCCTAGCGAGTTAGCCAATCAGATCGACCACCTTGCACAAACGGGCAGCGCTTCGATCTATCAGTCGCCAGCAGATGGCTCAGTACAGGCTTCAATTCATCTTGGCCGGAAAATCATCGATCACTTGAATAGCCTGGGTTCCTCTTGGAGCTTGGCTAATGATCTATTGTCCTATCAGGTCCTTTTGCCACAACCTATCCATGTAGGTTTTTGTGCCATATTATCTTAACAGATATTTTATGTTTCATTTCATCTGAATCTCAAAGTTAAAATGCTTCATCTTGCACATTTTTTTGTATAAAATCTTCAAAATTCGCTTTCAAATATTTGAAATTGAACTGCTCAAAAGGAACTGGGCATATTTTATTTTTCGTTTATAAGTAAGTTTTCAAGACTGCCAATAGATCCTACATATATATAAGATGTATTCACTCAATTTCGTTTAGTTGATAAGGTGTCTGGTAGTTGAATTTTTTTACAATGATGTAAGTAGACCTTACGCTTCCATTGAATTTCAAACATCCTTGCTTTACCATAAGGTATTTTAATCCTCATGGGAAAGCAAGGCTATTTGAAATTCAATGGAAACGTAAGGTCTACTCATATAATTGTGAGAAAATCCAACTACCCTTACCACATACGAAATTGGGTGAATACACCTCATCTATACGAGCATATTTTAATTTTCGTATATATACATAAGATTTTGTTATTGCTTTAGTGTGGCTAGAACTTTCATTTATTTTGATAAGTTAAGTCGAATATATTCTTAATTTGGGCTTACTGGAAAAAGAAAG